ATAGTCTAATCATTTCTTAGTAATAGCAATAGTTTCTTATGGTTGTGGCAGGGGAGGTGGGAGGGAAAAAGGGAGCTAACAATCATTGATTCCAAAATGAAAAAACTGTGCTAAAATCGATTATGGTTATGAATGCACAATTTTTCAAATGTATTTAAACCTTTGAATTGTATGGTCCATGAACTATATGTCAATAACACTTTTAAAACAGTATAACAGGAAGACAATGAATAAATATAATGAAACAATTAAAGAATTAGCAATAAAATAAATACTATGCTGTATATCTAGCAAAAATAGTAAAAATCTAGAGGTGATCGTTGTTATTTGACTTCATGATCTAAAGATAATCTGTGTAAAGTTCAATTTTTAAAAATTTTATACAATGGAAAGTCATTCCTCCCTTATAGAGACGCTTGAGGGTCACAGTGCTTTCTCATAAGAAAATTACAGATTTTATGAAAAGTCAGTATCAAACACAAAGTCCCATGGCAGTCCTTGAATTCAGAAGACAGGTCACAACAGCTCTTAAATGAACAAAAAATATTCCCTTCAGACATTGGAAATTCTAGGCAAAGCCAGAATTAAAACTTTGCAACATTGCTACATGGGCAAGTCCTTTTTTTATAATAACTATAGCAATCTTAGAAAAGAAATGTTCATTTTATAATTGTACATATACAAAAATCATATCTCAGAAAATTACTTCAAATTATCAAACTTATTATACTAAGCATTCCACAACCAAAGAGATAAAACTCTATGAGGTCAAACTTCATTAGAGATGCAAATTACAAATTAAACTTCAAAACAATAGAATTATTTTGGTCCATTTACAGACTTAAATGTCAGCTCTGCTGCTTTGTTCAAAAATCTCAAATGGAAATGTCTCTCTGAGAAACATGAAGCTATATTCCCATATTTTGAAATTAATTGTTCTGTGCATCTTAATAGAGGCTGTTTTGATTCCTATGGTCCTTGAAAAAAATGAGTCTGCATCTGAGAATATTAGGATCTTTAAGAATTGTTAATTTGAATTTATGTTGTGCATATAACCAATTACAAATGATCTATGAAAATGATAATCTGCATTCTGTATGTCTATAACAAGTTTGTTTTAAAATATATTGTTCACATTTCATTTTTTAGTAATAATTTTTCTTCCTAATACAATTATTTCATCTGTAGTATTACAATAGTGTGAGTGACACAAGGTGAAAAATATACTCTTTGGAGGTTAGAAACTGGAAAACAATGTTGGCCATTTCTTTAATAATCATCAACAATACATGCTATGTACTTTTTTCAAGGTGTAAACTATAATTCAACCTTGTGAATAAATGTACATGGTAGTCAATATATTAGAAATAAGTTTTTAAAGCCCTCAACATTGCAAATATAAAAGGATTAATTATCCCTGAGATAGAGATGAAAAACATTCCTATTGAGGTAGTTAGTTTATTGTGCCAACCTGGCCGATAAACACATGTGGGGATACTTGCAGGGTGGAGGGATAAATGGCTCAGTGAGTCTCGCCTTTGGAGTTCTCGGGCCTCTTGCTTTGTGATGGTTTAACCAGGGTGCAGCTGCTTTAGCCAGTTTCCTGCTTTAGCTGGCAAGGCTCATTTCCTGCAAGACATTCCTGAGAAGTCACATGGACATACCCCGATGCAGCCCTGGGTGCTGGAGCAGCCATGTGGAGACTCTTGCCAGCGCTGAGATTCTTGCACATTCACTAACTAGGCTTTCCTCCTGCAGTCAGCATCATTGCATCTGTTTTGTGAGATAGAGGACTTTGTGGATTGGTGTTGGACACATGGGTTAAAGTGTTAATGTTGGACTTGTGGGATTGGGCAGCACTGAGTTGGGATGTTACCTTGATGCACACTTAACCTTTATATAAAATTCTCTCTTATACATGTCTCTGTGGATTTTTTTCTTTAAAGTACCAGACTAACACACCTAGTATAGCCCTAACTTGCTGGACTAGGAAAGTCTCCAGCTGTGGTACAGGAATGAGAGACCCTGGCAAAATCAAAGCAGAATTCCTTGAGTTGAGGAAATGGTGTTTGAACAGTATGCCAGCTAAGACACAGTATGGGGGAAGAGTTTTATAGATCAGGAAGCGTAGAAATCCATAAAAGGTCCACTGGAGTATTCAGCAAAATAATGACAAGTACTTATGTGTGATGAAATTATCAAATATCAGGAGAATAATTGCATGAAAACATTAGAGGGTGTATAATACCCATTTCCCTCACAGAGCCAGAAATAGTGACCATTCCTTCAGGCAAAATGGGACATCTAGAGTATTCTCAATGGGATTGTCTCAAAAGTAGAAATGATTTGCCCTAGATTAAAATGACTCTAGTTCTGTCTAATGAAACTTAATATCATGTCCTCCCAAATCAAACTGCTTCTAATTAGTTTTGTTGCATATTAGGACACAGCTCAAAAATATTTATAACCCAAAAAGCTCATTGCCATTGAATCAGTGCTGACACAGAGCGACCCCCCTTTGGGTTTCTGAGACTGTAATTGTTTACCGGAGTAGAAAGCCCAGTCTTTCTCCTGTGGAGTTGCTGGTGGTTTTGAACTGCTGACCACCAGGTCTCAAAAATATGCTGCATTCAACAAGGCAAAATACTCAAAGCTTGGCACTCAGTTGTATTAGTCTGGGTACTTTAGAGAAACAAATCCACAGAAACTCATGTATAAGAGAGAGATTTATATATAGGTTATGTGTGCACCAAGAAAACATCCCAACCCAGTGCTACACAAGTCCACAAGTCCAGCTTTAAACCATTAACCCATATGTCGAACACCAGTCCACAAAATCCTCCTCCATCTCACAAAACAGATACAACGATACCGACTGCAGAAGGAAAGCCAAGTCAGTGAATGTGTAAGCATCTCAGTGCTAGCAGGGGTCTTCACATGGGTGTTCCAGCACCCAAGGCTCCATCAGGGTAGGTCCATGTGGTTTCTCCTTGGGGATGTCTTGCAGGAAGTCAGCCTTGCAAGCTGAAGCAGGGAACAGATACAGCAGTTGTACCCCGGTGCGACCATCACAAAGCAAGAGACCGCAAACTTGAAAGGCAAGGCTCACTGAGCCATTTATCCTTCTGCCCTTCAATTAATCCCACATGTGTTTATTGGCCAGTTTGGCACAATAAACTAACTCACCAGTCAAAATTACTATTGTACCATCAAGTTGATTCTGGCCCATAGCTGCCTTATGTACAACAGAATGAAACACTGTGAAGTCCTGTACCATCCTCACAATCGTTCCTGTTCCTGAGCTCATTGTTGCAGCCGCTGTGTCAATCCATCTCATAGAAGACATTTCTCTTTTTCACTGCCCCTTCACTTTACTGAGCATGAGGTACTTCACTGTTTTTAAGTTATAAAAACCTTTTTTGCATAGCTTCAAAACAGTCCAAACTTACCAGGCATGAAAAAAGCTGGAAAAGAAAGACTATAATGAAGCAAAAACACAACTAATTCACTACTATGCTAGAATTAGAACATAAGGACTTTTAAAAATAATCATTTTTAATGTTTTACAAGTGTTCAAAAAGTTATGTAGAGTTATCTATATGAAATATAAATAATCAAATCAATCAACTTCAAAATACAAAAATGGAAACTTTCCACAATGAAACTGAAAGAAAATAAGGATTTTAAAAATATATATAGCATCATTGGGTGAGGGAATCTTAAAGTGAACTAATATTGATGTAACTGAAGTTATCAATGGAAAAAGAGTAGCAAAATATGGTTCAAGAATGATGGCTAAAATGTTTCTAGATTGGATGAAAACTATGAGTATAATCTCAAATATACAATAAGCTCAACAAATTATACAGGTATGAAGACTGAGAGAAAATGACACCAAGCTAACATAATCAAGTTGCTCAAAAACCAATTGTCTCAGCAGTACACAAAAGAAAAAAACCTGTTAAATAAAAGTGATCAAAGATAAGGACATAATCAATTTCTCATCAGGAACCTATGCAGCTTAGATGAAAGTGGAGTAACATATCTGAAGTATTGGAGGGAAAAATGTGAATCTAGAAATTTTTTAATTAAGGCAAAAAGAATGGATCTGTACTACAAAAATGTAAGAGGAAATCTTTTCAGTAGAAATTATACCAGTTAGAACTATGCATCTACATAAAAATGAAAAGGGCCAGAAATGACAACTAAAAGGCAACTACATCATATTTTCTCTAATCAATATAAGAGATATATAAAATATAAGAATTCTTTAAAAGAGAATCCACTGTTTAAACAAAAATATTAATATTGTATTTTTATGTTTAATATATGTAAATGTGATATTATGAAAACAATGGAATAAATCCTAAGAGGAGATAATTGGATACAAATGATTATAAAGGTCTTAAAGCACATGTCAAGTGACACAAAATGGCTTCAAGGTAGATTTGTTAAGGATCTATTCTAGGAGCTGTAAAATTTCACGGAAAATAGAGTTCAAGAGAATCAATTTTCCCCAAAGACTCTTGAAAATCCTTCATACTACTAAGCATAAAGCAATCATAAAAATAATGAAACCTATTACAGTATTTATAGCTAATAGATCTCATAGCCAATAAAATATATTCATAATAAATAATCAATCCACACAAAAGAAGACAGGGAAAGAAGAGAAATTCGATGAAGAACAGAGGGAAAAGAGGGAAAAATAAAAGCCCAACATAATGTTAGCTTTAAACCAATTTACGACAAAAAAACAAATTTTTTTCCTTAAAGACCAGAACTTTAAAGACAGATATTATCAAATTGAATGACAAAGCAAGACTCATTTGTGCTTAATTTATAAGAAATATATATATGAAATATAAAAACAAGTAGATTAAAGTTAGTGGGATGGATAAGGTACATTTTACGTGCATGATAAAAGCTTGGGTAGTGATATTAATATCTGAGATGTAAGTCAAGGCAAATAATATGAGGGATAAAAATGGTCATTTCTTATACTTACAGGCAGAGGAGACACCATGATCACGAAGGTGATTTTCTCTGAGCGAGGCTCGTCCATTGCACTGCGGATGTGCTGACCTCTATGATTTCCCCAAATGTGGGAAACTCAGCTGCACAATTTATGGCAGTGGGGGACTGCATCTATGCTTTCCCCTGCAAAAAAATGAAGAAAAAAAGGTACCCCCCAAAAAAGATCATTTCTTAATGACAAAAGAATCAATTCAGCTGGCGTCTCAAGGTGGTGTCCGGGTAGAATCACCTGCCCAGTGCTTTGCTTGTTGGATGGTATAATTATGAGATAAGGAGACCAATATCAGGATGCCAGATATTTGAAATGGAATCCCAGTGTCTTAGACTTTGTGGTTTCGACCTCCCTTATGTTTTTATCTTCTTCTTTGATCATTTTATTAGGGGCTCTTACAGCTTTTATAATAATCCATATATCAATTGTACCAAGCACATTTGTATATATATTGCCATCATCATTTTTAAACATTTTCTTTCTCCTTGAGCCCTTCCCCTTATGACTTTTTCACATGGAGTGATTTGAAGGCTCGGTGCAACACTCTAAGTTCACTTTGCCTATCTGTGGGCTTTCCACAAACCTTGCCAGGTCCATTGGGACCTCATCCTTTCCCCTTCCTGTCCCTGAGATCCAAGCCCCATAAGGGTGCTGTGATTTCACTGGACTGCTGTCTAAGGATGGTCATAGATAGACCCAGGCCCACAGAGAGCCTCTGAAAACTAGCCACAAGAGAGCTCACTCTGGAGCTCCTTTCTCTGTTCCCCTTTCTGCTCAGGCGGTTGAGGGCTTTGAACCTCCTCTCCCTGCCAAGAAACAGAGCAATGACAACAGCCACTCCCTTTCCTCTTTTCCCCAGCTCCTCATGTGACTTGCCAGTGTGGGTCACAAAAGATCATTAGACACTCATTTATGACCATCAGAGACTCCCTGGGCTATTTACTTCCAAGAGATCGCCAATTCCACCATTACAGCCTGTGGAACACCGCAGTGATGAGCCAGGAGTGAGCTGGTAGGGTACTGGGAGATCTCAGACTCTGTGAGCCCAAAACCCATTCAGCCAATCTAATCCCTCTTTCCTGGGAGACAGCATGGCACAACCTTGATACCAGGACATACTGCAAAACCCTTTAATAAAAAAAAAAAAAAAAGGTAATTCTGAGCTGTGTTCCTTTTCTTCACTTTGAATCTAAGCCACCACATGCCTAGCTCATTAACCAAGTTTTAACATAACAAAGGACGAAAATTCACCAGGTACTTAAAGTTTATGGCCTTGTGCAAAGACAGGTTTTACCACATTGCCCTTGAGGAAGTGTCTTTGAAAAACTGCTCAAAGATCACACAATAGTAAGTGAGCAAAACAAGCCTTCATATAAGACACCAGCCTACTGAGTAAGTCATTGCTATACTCAACCCTCTAGGCTACTTAGTTAGGTGACAGAAATAAAACCCATCCCCCTACCCTGACTCGGCCATCTCCACCATTCCCTTCCCTTCTTACTTCATTCACCAGAGGTACATTCTCTCAAGATATTTAATCAATCACAAAAATATACTCTCGCAGCCCTACCAGACACCAAATTATTCACCTAGCCTGAATCATGCCCCCTCTCTGACACCCTACAAGACTACAAGGCAGTCAAACATCATACCACCAAAAACTGTCCCTACATAATACACATGGTTGACAAGGGACCCTGTTGGAGTCAATGTATTCCTCCTTTACCCCAACCAGTATAACACCTGGAACCTATTCCCTTGTTCCCTTCATGTAGGCTACAAACAACCTCCTGTAACTCACCTAGTAAAATTTCAGCTTTCTAGGGAGAGAACCAGCCCCCAGGGAGACAGAAACTCAAACTTGCAGCATAGCTTGCTCAAGATAGTTGTTAGTCTTATTCCTATTATTTCCTGAGACAGAAAAAACAGGGCTCCTTTCCCGGCCATGGTAATGGGGACTCATCACATCAGAGTTACCAGGCAAATTTCCTTGCTCATAGCAAGGTAGCCAGTGAACATGAGGCCCCACTGACCCTACCCAGACCATCATCTCCTCACAGGTGCACAACACAAAAATAGCCTATATCTACATTAGGACTGTATGTAAGGAGAGGAGAACTAGAGTTGTGCAGCAATCTACTATGCAGGGCCTTCTATTATAAACACAAATAATTAAAGATCTGCATTCTCTCCCTTTTTCTAGAGTCTATAAGGGACACAGGTAGATTTAATATACCCATCACACAACCCAACCACCCCAACATCTAGAACCTGCTTGTTAACCCTTGATAACAATGCCTATTCTCCACCAACTTATGAACTAAATATGTATCCTCCATAACACTCTGCACCCAGGTCCCCTGGGTGGCTCCCTCACCTCCTACTGCAAGTGAGCACTGGCCCATGCTGTGTGTGACTGGACTGCCCACACCACCCTTGCTCCCTGCAATTGTCCTGCCAACCCTGCCTGACAGAGCCATTCACATAGCCCACAAAATAAATATCCCTGGCTGTGTAGGGAGAGAGTCAACAACAGTGAGACAGAGACACAGCTGGAACACACTGTGCAGCTGGCTCCACATAATCCTTAGAATCATTCCTACTAGCCTCTGTGAAAGAAAACACAAGGCTCCTGGACTTCCTGCAAAATGGTGCAGAGTTCCACCAAAACACCACACAATCAACAACCAACATCAACAGGAACTACAAGAAACAATAGAAACAAAACACAATGTCTGAGGAGGATGTAAACATAGCAATATACATAGAAAAAGGAGACTTTGAACTGCCACAGACAAAAATCTTCAGTATGCTACTTAGAGTCATACAGGATATGAGGGAGTCAATGCCAAATAAAAAGAGGAAAAAATTAGAGAAAATAGAGTTCACTTACCATAGGGAAATACCAAGAGTTCAGGGAAAACACAGCAGAAGCCAAGGAAAAGCCAAGACCACCAGGCTGGAAGAGGTGAAGAATCATATCAGTGACATTGAAGATAGCATAGCAGAATTCAACAAATGTGGAAGATAATCAGAGAAAATGAAGTAAACCTGAGAACAATGAGCAGTGCTATAAAGAGAAACAATATTCAAATAGTTGGGATACCAGAGCAAGACATAACACAAAAATCAACGGTCAAGTTAGCGAGAGATTCTTGGAAGAAAGCTTCCCCAATTTAATGAAGTATAATCAGACAATCATCCAGGAAGCTGAGAGGACACGAATTAGACTGAACCCACAAGAACACATCAAGGCATGTAGTCATCAAATTATCCAACATTGCAGAAAAAGAGAAAAAATAATAGCAGTTAGAGAAAAAAAATGCAGTCAACTATAAGGTTAATCAGATAAGAAAAAAAAAGAGAGAATGGAGTAGCAGCTTCCAAAATTTGAAGGAAAATAATAATGACCCAAGAATTCTCTATCCAGCCAAACTCTCCAACAAATAGATGGAGAGGGAAGGGTATTCCCAGATCAGGAAAAATTTAGAGAATGTGTCACGTGTTAGTCCAGATTGACTAGAGAAACAAACCCAGGGAAACTCATACATGTAAAACAGAACTTTATATCAAGAAGTAACTATGTATTAATAATACATCCCAGACTACTCTGGATCAAGTCCATAAGTTCAATATTAGCCCACAAGTCCGATATTAGCCCATGAATTCCTCTTCAGGCTCACACAGCACACACAATGATGCCAAATGCAGGAAGATAACAGGCCGGTGGATGGAAAGTCCTGTAGCTCCAATGGCAGTGGACACATCTCCAGGGCTCTGGATGCCATCAGCATGGCTCCATGTGGCTTGTCAACAGGAATGTGAAGCAGAGAGAGAGTGTGTCCCACTTCCCATGAGAATGAGAGGAAACACCCAACATTCTCGTGAGAAAGCCACACCCACAATGAAGCATCAATTAGGCTGTGACCTGACTGACAGGCTAGACCCTACCTCAATAACCTATTTATCACATTGACATGAAATTATGTAATTACCACAAATCCAAAAAAAACAGCACTGCAAACATTATTTTCCAACTCACTTTGGTCAGAAAACCAACATTCACAGAGCACAAACATGAGACCACTGCATCGTGTAACATTATCAAGAAGTCAGCACTGAGAGCATACCCAAGATGCCTTTGACCCAATGGTGAAAAGAAGGCAAGAATGAATCCCCCCAACCCTCACATACATAACACACTGCTAAGGAGGGAGGGAGAAAAATGTCTATCACATTTACAGCAAACCATCCAAAAATGGATGTAATAACTCTTAATGTCAATTATCTGAATTCCCCCATCAAAAGACAAAGACTAGCAGACTGGATTATGAAAGAAACTCAACAATCTGTTGTCTGCAAGAGACACATCTCAAGTTCACAGACAAAAACTGGTTGAGGATCAAAGGTTGGCAGAAGGTCTATCAAACTAATGGCAATCTAAGAAAAGAAAGAGTTTCAATTCTAATCTCTGACAAGATTGATTATAAAGTGTAGGACGTAACAAGAGATAAGCATGGGCATTATATACTGCTTAGAGGATCAGCGGATCAAGAGCCAGTGTGCAAAATAAACATATTCACGCCTAACTGGAGACCCATGAAATATGCCAATCAAATACTTCAAAAGATGAGAAAAGAAATCACGAGATAGACAATCATAGTAGGAGACTTCAATACACCAGTCTCTGAGAAAGATAGATCATCAGGAAAGAAACTCAACAAAGAGGCTATATAACTAAACTCTACAATTTGACAACTTGTCTGATAGACCTATCTACCCAAATACAATTGAATTCACATTCTTTCCAAGTGCACATGGCACATATTTGAAAATAGACCACATGTTGGGACACAAGTGAAGTTTGCTCAAATTCAAAAATATAGAGGTCTCACAGACTTATTGACCACTATGCCATAAAGCTGGAAATCAATAAAAGAATGATATACCAAGAGCAAGGACAAATAATTGGAGGGTGAAGAACTTTCTTCCTCAAAAGGAGTGGGTATTAGCCCAAATTAGAGAGGCACTTAGAAAGTTTCTAGAAACCAGTTAGAATGAGAATACGACATACCAAAATCTATGGGATGCAACAAAAGCAATTATGTATAGGACGCTTGATAGCAATAAATGA